TTTGGGGGTATGGTTGATCCCGTCACCCAGGTAGTGAGCCTAGTACCCAATAGTTTTTCAGCCCTTGCCCCCCTCCCTCCTTTCCCCCTCTAGTAGTCCCCAGTGTCAATTCTTCCCATCTTTATTTCCATGTGTACCCCATGTTTAGCTCCCACTTATAAGTGATGACATGCAATATTTGGTTTTCTATTCCTGCACTGATTCTCAGGATAATGGCCCCCAGGTCTATCCACGTTGCTGCAAAGAGCATGATTTCATTTTTTTTTTATGGGTGCGTAGTATTCCGTGGTGTATAGGTACCACATTCTCTTTATCTAGTCCACTGTTGATGGGCACTGAGGTTGACTCCATGTCTTTGCTATGGTGAGTCGCTTTTGCACATCTTTTGAGAAAGCTTATTTTCATGGTTTGGGGGCCCAAGTATGATGAAGAGGACAGACTGGAAGCAGCCAGCTCTCCTGAAGGGTCTTGGATGATTCCTTTTGTTTCTCGTAAAATTATGTTGATATGGAATCTACTTAATTAATTCAACCAGTTTGTCTCTTCTCAAGTTGTCAGGGATTCAGCCCTGGGGGCAAAGACAGCCAGCAGAGGCCTCCAGGGCCCTGCACCCAGCAGCCTGCCACGCTCAGGACAGAGAATTAAAAGCATTTAGTTAACTTCTCCTTGGGGACACAAATTCAGACCATAGAACACACCCAATCCCTTACCACTCTGTAAGCAAAGCATGGTATTGGTTTCTTTAACCCCAATAGGTTTTGCCAAGTAAGAGAGTGTTAATATCCCCCTCCCACCCACCGCCTGGATTGAATTACTTAAAGCATCTTTTTGGAGATGTCAGCAGTTTAATAGAGGCAATAAGTCAGGGCTGCCCTTGTGTTTTATTTTTCTGCCAGTATTTAGTTAATTAAAGAATGCAAATTAAAACACCTTAATTTATATAATATCAATACCAACGCCTTAAAACATTTGGCATAACTGCTCTGGCACGTCCCTTACATAAACTCTTCAGAGTAGTGCTAATAAAAATGAAAAAGGTGGTAAATCAAATTTAATTTATTCATTTTCTGTATGGTATGAAAGCATATGCCAAAATCAAGTTATTTATGAGTGCATCATAACAATAGGCATTTGTAGTGGCTGCAAATGACAAAAAAGATTTTCAGAAGGATGTGTGTTTTAATTTTGAAACGTCTCTAGGTACATCTATTTTCTGGGCTCCAAGCTCTAAAATTTATATTTTTGCACCCATATCTCCAGGAAAAAAATAGGTTTAGATATTGGAAAACATATTGATACTAAAAACATGGCAATATCCACTCATAAAAGCAGCTGCAACCATCTATATGTAGATAGACATATACACAATATGTCCTATGGTATATGAATCTGCAGGTGAGATAAAAGGTTGGTGATTTATATCCGATTCCTTAAATATTCCATTAAGAGGATTATCTACAGACAGAATCGGAAGGGATTTGGTGTGCGGCCGCTTTCTTGGAAGCCTTAGAGATGAACTACATGTGCGTGAATGAAGAGCCGGACTCCCATTTTCATCTTGCCCCTCCTCTACTGATGTATCTTTCTTTGTCTGATGGATCTGAGCCTTGAGTACATTTTATTCGGAACTGGAAGGACTGTAGGCTGCATTCAGGCTACTGAAGGATGGCATGCTCTCCATCCTTGCCCTGGCAAACCTCCCAAATGCAATTGTCCTTTTAAAAACCTCTTCCTCACCCAGCCTTTAACTCAATAGGTCACAGGCCATGTGGGAGAGTGGAGAGAAGTTTGGGAGAAACCATCTCCTCCCCGACCAATCCTGATGCCCTCTGGACAAACTCAAGCAAATTCACAAATACAGCCCTCCACCTGGCCCATGGCCTCCCTATTTGGGAGGAAAAAACTCAGTACAATACTGTGACATATTTCATTCATTATCTGTTAAGGTGAGCGTGGCAAGCCTGGCGGAAGTGGCAGAATATTGGTGCTCATCACTTGGGGGAATGATTCAGGAGTGGCATCTTCCCGTAACCTGTGACAGCCACTTAAGGTTGTAGGGAGACTACTACAAAATCCCAAATAAAGTACGTTCTAAAACAAGTCTTTCTTTTCCTTCTTTCTTTTCTTTCTTTTCTTTTCTTTTCTTTCTTTCTTTCTTTCTTTCTTTCTTTCTTTCTTTCTTTCTTTCTTTCTTTCTTTCTTTCTTTCTTTCCTTCTTTCTTTCTTTCTTTCTTTTTCTTTCTCTTTCTTTTTCTTTCTTTCTTTCTTTCCTTCCTTCCTTCCTTCCTTCCTTCTTTCTTTCTTTCTTTCTTTCTTTCCTTCTTTCTTTCTTTCTTTCTCTCTCTTTCTCTCTT